CTCTGGGCCTGGGTGCTGTCCCTGAGCTCTTCAGCTCAAGGAGAGTGCTCTACCACTTGAGAGCCATAGAGCTTCTTCCGGTTTTCTGGTGGTTTATTGGAGATATGAGTCTCACGGACTTTTCTGTTTGGGCTGGCTTTGAACCACGATCCTCAGATCTCAGTCTCCTAAGTACCTAGGATTATAGGCATGAGCTACCGGCGCCCTACAGAACATTGCTTTTTACAAACTGCTTTGATTGGGCTGGGAATGTGGCTTAGTGGTACAATGCTTTCTTAGCATGCATGACGCTCTAGGTTCAATTCCTCAGTACCACATAAACAGAAAAAGCAGAAGTGATGTTGTGGCTCAAGTGGTAGAGTGCTGGCCGTGAGCAAAAAGAAGTTCAAGGATGGTGCCCAAGCCTGAGTTCAAGTCCCAAGACTGGAAAAATGAATAAATAAATAAGCACATTGATAGAGTAAAATATTGATAAATTATCAATACTGTTTCTTGACTTCTTCCTCTCCCACCCCCTTCTTCAGATCTCAGCTTCCTGGGTAGGTATAGGCATGATCCACCAGCGCCTGGCTCAAAAGAATATTATACATTTTGATTCATTGATACTAGATGTGACCTTTGTAGTCATTTGGTTAAAATCTTTTTGTTGGCATTTGAGACGACTAAAGCCTAGAGAAATAAAATTTCCAGAGAAAGAAATATTTTGAGACAGGATATTGCTAAGTCGAACTGGATGGTCTAGAATTTGTGATCCTCCAACTCTAATAAAAGTCTCTATTGCTAAGATTAACGGGTGTGAGCTATCATGCCCAGTACTTTTGGCTTCATAATTCTCGTAGGTTCTCATTTAGCCATCACAGTGACAGCGACAGTTATAGAGGTGTTTCTCTCTAGTGGGTACTAGGTGCTTGTCCAATCCCAGTAGCATCAAGTCGTATACTAAGGGGACACTACCAGTTGGCATTGGAAATGGTTTCAGAAGCAGTTTTCCTCCAGGTGACTGTTACTCTTGGGGGGGAAAAAGAACATTGCAACTTTTATAAATACTGTACTTGTTCATGAGATTTTATGTGCAAAGTTGTTTTATATTATAATATTCCTAGTTTTGCTTTTTTTTCTGTCAGTTTTTCTATCATAGTACTTCTTGTTGGAAAGTAAAATATGGTTGGAGTACTAGTTAGAAGATCTGTTTAGTTCTCATCTCCTCAGGGTTAAGTTGAAGTGTTTAGTTAAGACCTGTTAATGAGTTTCTTTGTGGAATGTTTTTGTTTTAGTTACTTACACATTGGGCATGCAAAAGCTGCTCTTCTGAACCAGCACTACCAGGTTAACTTTAAAGGGAAACTGATCATGAGATTTGATGACACAAATCCTGAAAAAGAAAAGGAAGATTTTGAGAAGGTAATTAAAAGTGTAGTGATGACTTTTTTCAGAAAAGTAAATTAAAGTTAGAGGGTAACCTGATACCTTCACGGTATGAAAAGCATACTTTGTTTCATAGCTACCCCCCCCCTTTTATATATTCCACCTATGTATATTCTTGAGACCCAAGCCAAAAAATATCAAGTTCCTATACAAAAAAAAATTTTCTCTTCTCCAGTTATAGAATTTACCTACATGCTATATTTTCCTATAAGTAACAAATTCACTGGAGGCAGGTTTTCCTACTGTCATATAATACTAAGTTTATGAATGAAATAATCACTAAATAGGTATTGGAAAATGTAGTTTTCTACCTCTTGTCTCATCTTTATTCAGAAGCACTACAATACATTCCAAGAGGATACAAAGGATTGTTGATATGATCAATAAATAATAACTGATTTTTTCAGAGTAAATGAAAGCTCCCTCATGAGATCAGCTTTTGGAGCTGAAAATTTGGACGCTAACGTAATGAGTAATTTTTTTTTTCTGACTTAATATCATACAACTTCCACGGCCATTTTCAGGCCATTTAAGATGGATTTTTTTTAAATTACATTTATTCAAAATGCAGTATCGGGGATTGGAAATAATGGGAAAAATGAAACTATGCACTTTTTTTTAATTTATTGCAGGTTATCTTGGAAGATGTTGCAATGCTGCATATCAAACCAAATCAATTTACTTATACTTCAGATCATTTTGAAACTATAATGAAATATGCAGAGAAACTAATTCAAGAAGGGAAGGCTTATGTTGATGATACTCCTGCTGAGCAGATGAAGGCAGAACGTGAACAGAGGATAGAATCCAAACATAGAAATAACTGTAAGGCATAGTTTTGTCTGATGTTTAATTTATATTCTGTATTACGCTTCCTTAGCAGTACATGATATCATTATTGTAAGAGATGCTGACGTGAAACACATTGAGTGTGATTTCTATGCTAATGTATTTTAGAAATCTTTTTTCTTTCTCTGTAATCTTTTACATTTTGCATGTATTTCCCTTACTGTGATATTTAATTAATTAATT